CGAAACCTCAGACAGTAAAAGAATTAAGAACCTTTTTGGGAATGACGGGGTGGTGCAGGCTATGGATCTATAATTATGGACTGCTTGTTAAGCCCCTGTATGCGCTAACAAATACCGAACAGACGCACCTCGAATGGGATGAGGAGGCTGAGCGAGCCTTTGATTCACTGAAGAAGGCTTTGATGTCGGCCCCGGCTCTAGGACTCCCAGATGTGAGTAAACCGTTTTTTCTCTTTTCTCATGAGAAGCAGGGCATTGCCCTGGGAATACTGGCACAAGACCTAGGTCCATATCGACGAGCTGTCGCCTATCTCTCTAAACAACTAGATGCAACTGCAAAAGGGTGGCCTGGGTGTCTGCGAGCGGTGGCTGCCCTGATACTGAACATACAGGAAGCTCGGAAGTTCACTCTGGGCCAGAAAATGACTGTCTATGTGTCACATACAGTGTCGGCAGTCCTGGAAGCAAAGGGAGGGCATTGGCTCTCCCCACAAAGATTTCTGAGATACCAAGCTGCACTAGTAGAACAAGATGATGTACAGATAATAGTCACTAATATTATCAACCCAGCTTCTTTCCTCAGTGGTAACATGGGAGAACCAGTGCACCATGACTGCTTGGAAACAATTGAGGCGACATACTCAAGTCGCCCTGACCTAAAAGAAAGCCCCATGAAGGATGAAGAGAGCTGGTTCACGGATGGAAGCAGTTACATCCTGAACGGTAATCGATATGCGGGGTATGCCGTTACCACCAGTCAAAAGGTAATAGAATCAGGACCTCTGCCTGCAAATACGTCTGCGCAAAAGGCAGAAATAATTGCTTTAACCCGAGCCCTGGAACTAGCTAAGGGTAAGATCATAAACATATACACGGACTCCAAGTATGCTTTTGGAGTTGTGCATGCACATGGAGCAATCTGGAAAGAAAGGGGACTATTGAACTCCCAAGGGAAAAACATTAAACATGCGGAAGAAATTTTGAAGCTATTGGAAGCTGTTCAATTTCCTGAGAAGGTGGCAATTATGCATATTAAAGCACACCAAAAGGTGAGCTCTGAATTGGAAAAAGGAAACGAGCTGGCGGATAGGGAGGCAAAACGGGCGGCCAAAATAGAGATACAGACTGAAGGAGCACTTATTCCCGATAGGCAAATTTCCTTGGAAAGTAAACCAGAATATACCAGGGAGGATCAGAAACTTATTGCAGATCTGGAAGGGACATATAACAAGGAAGGATGGGCTTATACCCCACAGGGGAAGTTAATTATCCCCTCTCATTTACTATGGCATTTTACACGAGAGGAGCATAGAAAGAGACACTGGGGAGCAGAAGCTTTGTATAGTCATTTGATAAAAGAGATTGTAGCCAGGAATTTGTATACCACGGTAAGGCAGGTGACTCAACAATGCGACATCTGCCTCCGGACTAATCCCCAAAACGCCCCCAAACTAGAAATGGGTCAGATTGGGAAGGGCAACGGACCTGGGCAACAATGGCAAGTAGATTTTACAGAATTACCAAGAAAAGGGGGGTATCGATATTTGTTGGTACTGACTGATACCTTTTCAGGCTGGCCAGAAGCATTCCCTACTAGAACCGCTAAGGCTCGGGAAGTAACTAAAGTACTGATACAAGAAATAATACCACGATTTGGGGTTCCGGCAATCATATCCTCAGATAGAGGACCACACTTTGTCTCAAAAGTAGTACAACAAATTAGCCACCATTTGGGTATAGATTGGCAGCTTCACACCCTGTATCGCCCTCAGTCAAGCGGTCAAGTGGAAAAGATGAACCACTTAATCAAACAGCAAATTGTAAAATTGGGGCAAGAAGCAAACCTGACATGGCCTCAGTCCTTGCCCTTGGCCCTTTTACGCATACGGACAAGGCCAAGGGCAAGGGAAGGGCTGAGCCCCTTTGAAATTTTATATGGACAACCATACGGGGTACAAAAAGGAATATCCACACAAATTGGAGATGAAATTATGAGCTCCTACATGGTGGCGTTAGGGAAACAACTCAATAAGATCAGAAAACATGTAATTGGTACTCGAGGTAGAGGGCTGGATGGACCTGTACATAATATACAACCTGGGGACTATGTATATGTTAAGTCTCTTACAGAAAAAACCTTGGAGCCACGGTGGGAAGGGCCATTCCAGGTGCTGCTCACGACGTTCACAGCCATCAAGATTAAGGAATACTCGGCCTGGATACATCACACCCGAGTGAAGAAAGCCCATAAATCTCCATGGAAAGTTACCCAAGTTCAACCAGGAAGATTACGCTTCTCACGATAAATCTGATAATCATTTTTCCTTTAATGTATAGTCAAAGGTTCAGTGAATGGCCATGGTCCCAGGCCCACATTGGGTATACTGGAAGTATGGGGATAGGCAGCACACACACGACTCTAAATTTGGCTACTACAGTTATACAGGGGATAAATGTGAGCTCAAAAGAAGAATGGAATCACACCTATCAAGGAGTACAACAATTGCAGGGAACATTGGGACAAGAAATTAAAATAGGATGCAGAGCAATTAATGAGTCTACTCACTGGGCAGCAAAACAGATCACAGTAAGAACACGTATGGAAACTGGGGAACCGGGCGCCCTTTTAGCAAACCAAGTCTGTGATACAACAAAATCAGATTGTTGGTATAACTCTACTCTTAACCAATCAATTTCTGTAGTATGTCTCTGGGTCAAGGGGCAGCCGATATTGGGATTATCCTTCAGATTTCATATAATAATAAACAACGCAACAACAACACCAACAACTGAAAAGACAACCAGCACAACAACAACAGCGCCAAACACAACTCAAACAACTCAACCCCAAACAAAACCAGGGCCTAAGATTTATAAAGTTGGCCCATATATGATTAGGAATGTGGGCCAACAACAATTATTATTTAACCCAGATTGGTCTCTTAAGCGTGTTGAATTGATAATACAGACTAATATCTCCGAAATCCAACCAGCCTGTCTTCCTTTCGTAGAAACATCTTTCAAGGGCTGGACGAGATGGATACAAAAACAAATGCACCTTGAAAGCAGAACAAAAAGAGATTTAACTGGAGTATTAGGAACGGGGTTGGGAGTCTTGAATAGAATCGATTCAGAAGTATTAATGAACAAGTTGGTCACTGCAACAAGTGATTTAACAAGGCTAAAGCAGCCTCTGCAGTCATCTTTGTTGGCATTGGGAACTAGTCAGTGGCAAGTTTCAAAAATATTGCCAATATGGGAAAAGAATGAGGACCAAGATCACAGATTAATACTAGATGCACTTAATATGGCCCAGAATAATGTGTCTTTAGCTTTTAGTTGTATACAGGCACAGTTATGGCTGCAGGCAACCGCTGCCTTGATCATAAGGGAAGGGAATGAAGGAATTTTTCCAGTTGAAATCCGAAAGGCTGTTTGGGACGAAGCTACCAATTTTGAAAGAAGATTCCAATCTTGGTGGACTATGGTGAATTTTACCTATGACTCCACTACTAACATGGCTACTGCCTTTGTGCTCACCATACGTAATGCTACAGTTTATGTAATCCATCCCATCATCGCATTAGGGTTAAACCATGAGGATACAGTGCTCTATCCTTCAGAGCATAGAGCATGGGCCCGGAAGGAGAATGAGAAATGGCAGACTGTAAACGTGGAATCTTGTATTACTCGAGAACAACAGGGGTTCATCTGTGAAAGTAATACAATTGACACCAGAGACATATGCCTTGACACTGAGCAAAGTATCTGTCACTTCGAAATTCACCCAGATAATAGTAAGAAAACTGTGATTATATATGCTGGTCAAGGCTGTATATGTTTAAGAACCGCTTGTGTATTCGTAGAGATAGATCCTGACAATGTAACTTTGTTTACTGGGAATCATTCTAATTTTTGTATTTGTAACTTTGTTAAGATTACTGGGTGTGACTTTGTATATTGGGCACCAGTGGTTTCCCACCAGTTGATAAAATCTAAAATCATAAATTATCTCGAATTATCACCTACACCTATTGGAATGAACCTTACATTAGTAAGGCAATTGATTAAACATCAAGATTTGTTAGGGATCTTGAGAGAAATTCAAAGAAACGGAGAGAAAACTTTAGTTACTATACACCATGATACAAAAGAAATAAACAGGGTTTTGCAAAGAACAAAACAAGATGCAAGTCACAACTGGTGGGATACTCTTTTCGGCTGGTCGCCTTCTGCAACAGGGATTCTTAACATTATGATACACCCCATTGTGATTCTACTAGGTAGTTTAGGAATTTTATTAGTACTAACCATCATTTTGTATTTATGGGTCTGGAGAATGTTTAAAAGAATAACAGCGATGCATGAGGCTTTATATTATTTGGGGGATTGCTGAAGTAAAAGAATTTACTCAGTATAATAAGAAAAGGGGGGATTGATACAGGGCCAAGATAGGAACAGGGGATGTAAGGGTTAACATGAGAATAGCAAGAAGGGGATAATAGCAAGAAGGGGATAACAAAAGAAAATAGTTCAAGGGAAATAGTTTAGATAACGGTTAACTGTCTGCTTAGTGAGCAGACAGTTTATAAAACACGGTGAGCTCTCTAGGCTTTATCAGTACCAAGCCGGTTGGAACTAGACCCACGGTTTGGACAACAGCCAGTAAGAAACTGAGTATGCGCAAAACCTGGGGTCACAGAGCGGACAGGAGGAAGAGGAGCTTGACTTCATCCCCAAAGACCCCCACGACCACCACCAGAAGACACTGCGCAGACTCAACTAGGAGGAGATTATGGAAATGCTAATTATAATACGAAGCGGGGATAGGTGTTGAATATGTATAGGCGTATTGCAAAATATTATGAATATGTAATCATTTGCTCTATAAATCTTAGGTAACAGCATCACACGTTGGGTACACAATAGGAGGAGTTATCCCCTGTGTACCTCAGCGCTGAATAAACATACCTACTTTACAATCTATCAGATTGTGGAGTCTATTTCCGCACGTCAGAGGAGGACGAGCACGAGGATGAGTAGGACGACGAGGACAAGGAGGACGAGGAGGAGGACGAGGATAAGGAGGACGAGGAGGACGATGACGAGGAGGATGAGGAGGAGGAGGACGACGAGGATGAGGGTGAGGATGAGGAGGAGGACGAGGATGAGGATGAGGAGGACGACAAGGATGGGGAGGATGAGGTGGAGGATGAGGAGGATGAGGAGGACAAGCACGAGGATGTGTAGAACGAGGAGGAGGAGGAGGAGGACGACAAAGAGGAGGAGGACGACGAGGAGGAGGAGGACGACGAGGAGGAGGAGGACAACGAGGAGGAGGATGATGATGAGGAGCATGATGAGGAGGAGGAGGGCGAGGCTGAGTATGAGGAGGTGGGCGAGGACAAGTAGGACAAGGAGGAGGACGAGGAGGAGGACGAAGAGGATGATAAGGAGGAGGAGGACGAGGAGGATGAGGAGGAGGACGAGGATGAGGAGGAGGAGGAGGAGGAGGAAAAGGAGGACGAGGAGGAAGACGAGGAGTACGACAAGGAGGAGGAGGAGGATAACGGGGAGGATGAGGAGGACGAGCAGGAGGAGGATGAGGATGACGAGGAAGAGGAGGAGGAGGACGAGGACGAGAAATATGAAGAGGAGGATGAGGATGAGGACGAGGAGGAAGAAGAGGAGGAGTACGAGGAGGAGGACGAGGAGGAGGAGGAGGATGACAAGGAGGAGGAGGATGACGAGGAGGAGGAGGACAACGAGGAGGAGGATGATGAGGAGGACGAGGAGGAGGCGGATGATGAGGAAGAGGAGGAGGAGGAGGGGGACGCGGACAAGGAGGATGAGGAGGACGAGGATGAGGAGGATGGGGACGCGGAGGAGAAGGAGGAGGAGGAGGTTCGAGGAGGATGATGAAAAGGCGGAGGACAAGGACGAGGTTGAGGAGGAGGACGAGGAGGAGAACGAGGAGGACGAGGAGGACTAGGAGGAGGATGAGGATGAGGAGGAGGAGGAGGAGCAGGATGATGATGATGACGAGGAGTTGGAGTACGAGGAGGAGGAAATCAATGAGGAGGATAACAAGGATGAGGAAGAGGACGAGGAGGAGGAGGGGAAGAGGAGGAAAACGATGAGGAGGATAACGAGGATGAGGAGGAGGACGAGGAGGACGACGAGGAGGAGTAGGATAACGAATAGGAGGAGGACAACGATGAGGAGGAGAACGACGAGGAAGAGGAGGAGGAGGAGGGGGACGAGGATGAGGATGAGGAGGAGGAGGTCAAGGAGGATGAGGAAAAGGAGGTGGACAAGGAGGAGGATGAGGATGAGTAGAATGAGGAGTACGAGGAGAACGAGCAGGACGAGGAGGACTAGGAGGAGGATGAGGAGGAGGAGGAGGAGGATAAGGAGGATGACGAGGACGAGGACGAGGAGGAGGAGGACGAGGAGGATGAGGAGGAGGAGGATAAGGAGGAGGACGAGGTCAAGGAGAACGAGGATGAGGAGGAAGAGGAGGACAAGGAGGAGGAGGAGGACTAGGAGGAGGACGAGGAGGATGAGGAGGAAGTGGAGGACGAGGATGAGGATGAGGAGGAAGACGAGGACAAAGAGGACGAGGAGGAGGACGAGGAGGACGACAGGGAGGATGAGGAGGATGAGGAGGATGACAATGAGGAGGAGGAGGATGAGGAGGAGGAGAAGGAAGGGGAGGTGGAGGAGGAGGATGATGAGACGAGGAAGATGAAGGAGGAGGAGGGGGACGAGGACGAGGAGGAGGATGAGAAAAAGGAGGACAAGGAGGAGGAGGACGAGGATGAGAAGGAGGAGGAGGACGAGGAGGATGAGGAGGAGGAGGAGGAAGATGAAGAGTAGGAGGAGGACGAGGAGGAGGAGGAGGAGGAGGAGGACGAGTTGGAATATGAGGAGTTGAGGAGGAAGGCGAGGAGGACGAGGAGGACAAGGAGGATGAGGACAAGGAGGGGGACAAGGAGGAGGATGAGGAGGAGGACAAGTAGGAGGACGAGGACGAGGAGGACGAGGAGCAGGACGAGGAGGAGGACTAGGAGGATGAGGACAAGGAGGGGAACAAGGAGGAGGACGAGGAGGAGGACAAGTAGGAGGACGAGGACGAGGATGAGGAGGACAAGGACGTGGACGAGGAGGAGGACGAGGAGGAGGACGAGGAGGAGGAGGAGGACTAGGAGGAGTATGAGGAGGTGGAGGAGGAGGAAGAGGATGAGGAGGATGACCAGGATGAGGAGGAGGACAAGGAGGAGGATGATGAGGAGGAAAACGATGAGGAGGAAAACGAGGAGGAGGAGGAAAACGATTAGGAGGAGGAGGACGAGGACGATGACGAGGAGGAGGGGGAGGATGAGGAGGAGGACAGATAGGAGGATGAAGAGGAGGACGAGGAGGACGAGGATGATGAGGAGGATGAGGATGAGGACGGTGACGAGGAGGATGAGGAGGATGAGGATGAGGATTTGTCATGGTTTAGGCCTGATTGACAGCCAACCACAATGCAGCACCTCTCTCTCTTCCCCTCCGGCAATGAGTAGGAACAGAGAGCCAGGCTTGGGGTTCAATATAGGACTGGGATCGGTGAAAATCCCCCTTTTATGATCACGAGCAAAAGGCAGACTCCTTAGGGGAAGGAAAATCCATACATTTATTACAGACACAAACAACACATAACAGAGTAGGACAGTGAGAAGCAGTGCCACATCTTGAGAACACTTCCCCCCACCCCTCCTTCTTCCCGGGCTCAGCTCTGCTCCCGATATCTCTACCTCCTCCCCCAGTGGTGCAGGGGCAGGGAATGGGGGGTGCAGTCAGTGCTGCCACTTCCTTCATGTTCGGTGAGGGGAGTGTCCAAAACTTGTTACCCCTGCTCCATCGTGGTCCCCCTCTCACAGCAGACAGTCCTCCACAAACTTTCTCTGACATGAATTCCTCCCATGGGCCGCAGCGTTCCCCACACTGCTCCGTCATGGGTCACTAACTTCCTCCGACTGGATTCTTTCACACGGCTGCAGCCCTTCCCGAGCTGTTCCGGCGTGGACTCCCCCGCATGCTGCAATCCTCCCAGCACTGAATTACAGCAGCGGGGCTACCTTTTTCCATGAGACCCCGGCCTTCTTCGGGCACAGAACCTTGATCATCCGAGCAGGAACAACAGGCCACAAATCAATGCCTGCTCCACCGTAGATCTTCATGGGTGGCAGGGGGGGCCGCCCTGCTGTCTCACCACAGGATACAGGAGGGTTCTCTGCTCCGGCACACCTCCCCCTCCTTTCTTCCTCCGTTCCTCCACTGACCTTGGTGTTCATGTAGCTGCAGCGACTCCTCCTCACAAGTCCCACAGCACGTCACCACGTCCCTTCTTAAATACGTTATCGCAGAGGCGCAGCTGATTGGCTCAATTTCCCAAACAGAAGTGGAGCTGACGTGGAGCTGGGGGAGCTTTGAGAAGCTTCTCACAGGGGGCTGCCCCGATAGCCCCTCCCCTGCCACCAAAAAACTCCACCACTCACTCAACCCAGGACAGGATGAGGAGGACGACAAGGAGGAGGAGGACGAGGAGGAGGAGGATGAGGATGACAAGGAAGATGAAGGAGGAGGAGGGGGATGAGGACGAGGAGGAGGACGAGGACAAGGAGGATGAGGAGGTGGACAAGGAGGACGAGAACGAGAAGGAAGACAAGGAGGAGGACGAGGAAGATGAGGAAGAATAGGATGAGGAGGAGGAGGAGGACGAGGTGGAGGACGAGGAGAGTACAAGGAGGAGGAGGAGGAGGAGGAAGAGGAGGAGGAGGATGAGGTGGATGAGGACGAGGAGGGGGACGAGGAGGGGGAGGATAAGTAGGAGGACGAGGACGAGGAGGTGGATGAGGAGGAGGATGAGGAAATTATATATTTTTATAAAGATTGGCTTCATTCATTTATAACAGCAGTATCAGACACCGGCCGTTTTGCTTCCGAATAGAATAACTCTGTGCCTGGCAGAGCAGCACAACGGGGGCCTGCACAACCACCCGCTGCACGAGGACCCTGCACACGTGCGCCTATTGACGAGCGGAATCATGACTTTACAACCAGTAAGGTTATAAAGTAGGTATGTTTATTCAGCACTGGGCACAGGGGGGAATCATTCCTCCAGAAACGTGCGTGCCCTGGAGCCAAAAGAGGCTCCTTTTTATTGTGTAAAACGTTACATATTCATTAACTCCAATACACATGCATCACAATTCTGGGAATAGGGAGGGAATATTACAATCAGTTCGAGAAATCATTAACATACCCCACCCCAAGTCCCTCCATGTCACACCTGCGCAGTGCTCCCTGGAGGTCGTGGGCAGGGGTCTGCAGATGAAGGCCCGTAGTCTCCTTCACTGTGTTCGCTAGCTGACCCTTACTTCTGCGCCAACTCAGTCCTGTGGTCACGTACACCTTGTCCTTCAGGTCTGGGCTAATTTGCACTCTTTGTATTTCTGGCTCAGTGGTTTCAGTTCCCCTCTTATCTCAGGGACAAGAGGTACCAGCGATGGCCCGTCCTGTCTTCCTTCCATTCACTCACACGGGAGTTGCCGGCCTTTGATGGAGGCCACCTGGTGAGCAGCCCCTGAGGGGGGGCTATTGGGTTAATGTTTCCTCAGATTACTATTGCACGAGGGCCCTGAACGCGCATCCCTGTCGCACGCGGCTCTTTGCATGCCCGCTGCCCTCGCAGCAGGCGCTGTGCGCACGCGTGCACACTGGGGCCGGGACTACAACTCCCGACGTGCCTCGCGCGGGCGGTCAGTGGAGCCACGCGATGATTGGCTGCAAAGGGGGCGGGGCCACGGCGCGCGGCGGGGCCCGCCCACTGGCAGTGTCAGCAAAGCAGCGGGACGGGTAGGAGGGTCTTGTGGAGCCCCTAAGTGGGGCTGAGGGGGGCTCCGTGCCTTGGGGGTGGCTGCGGCCCCCGGGGGGCCTGGGAGGGGGGTGGGCCCCGGGGGTGCCGGGGAGTGGGGCTGTGGAAAGGCTCAGAGCCCCTCGGGGGACCGAGGAGCGGGGGGGGGGGGCTGCGGGCGGCCCCGGGGTTGGGGAGTGGGGCGGGGGGGGCTGGGGGGACTGGCGGGGGGGGCTGGAGAACGGAGCGGGGGCTGGGAGCCGCCAGCAAGGGCTGGGGAGCCCGAGCCCGGGGGGGCTGCGAGCCGGGGGGGTCCCGCCCTTTCCCTGCCCGCCCCAGGCCCCAGCCGGGGTCCCGGCCGAAGCCCCTCAGGGAGCTGATTTGGCCGCCCCGAGGACGGCTGGGGGGGCAGCCCCGAGCTGCTCGGCTGGGGCCTCGTTCTTGGGGCAAGAGGCAGCGGGGGCCTGCGCAGCGCTGGGAGTTGGCGCTGAAAATCCCAGCTCGGGGGGGTCGGGGCTGCTTCCCCGCGCCCGTGGCGGCTCCTGCTCCGCCAATTCCAGTCAGCAGCCCGCAGCTTCATCCGGGCTGCTTGGGGTTGTGCTCTTCTTCAAACTCCAGTTGCAGAAATCAGGCTGGTGTTTGAACAGTTTTTGGTCGCTGTGATGACTGCAACAGGCTTCAAAGATGGACCTCAGCAATTCAGTAGTCCCAGACCTTCCCCTTTGTGCATTTAATTAAGGAATAATTTGAAAACTGATGAAAACTAATGGGTGTTTGGGCCGTGCAGAGTCTTTCTTTGCATGGGAGAATAGATTTTGGTTTCTTGGCTTAGTTACTGTCCATGGAGGCAAGGAAGGAGAAACCAAGCAGCAGTGATGTCTTTTCTTTAGATTTAAGACATGCATAAAAACACCTAACTAAAAGAAGCCAATGTTAAATTGTCTTGTTTAATGTTAGCAGGAAGCTGATGGGAATATCCTTAAATCAAAACTGATACAAAACAGAAATGTGTCCTAAGCGTCTGCTGTGTGTAGCGTCACCCTTAGTGGATTTCAAACCCTTTAATTTCCTGGTGATAGGTTATAAATGTTTAGAGCAATGCAATAAATTATATTAAGATGGTAGCAACTTGATTATTTTCTTATATCCACAAATGTTTTTTAAAAAAGTCATTGGATTTCTAATTTAGGTCAAGTTATCTAAAAATCATAAGCAGGACTTTTTTTTTTCTCATTTATATTAATTCGGGTAAAAGAGCAGAAGTTGATTTGGAAACCTGTAAGCTGAAGGGTGTTTTCCAGTGAGGTTTTGGTTTGTTTATTTTCTTTTTGCTTTTGTGAAGTCCTCAATATTATATTTTCTCCCTCATTATTTCCAGGCTGCAGAACCAGCCTGAAAGGCACGGTGGAATTACTTTTCCCATTAGCTGGGCTCCTCCTAAGGATATAGATTGCATCCATACTCAGAAGCCAGTTGCAGCAACGAAGCCGTTTCAGGTATTTGAAGAGGAAGAAGAACTGAATCACCAGTAAACAAGAATGTAAAATTTGTTAACCTCTTGAGTTTTTCAGGACAAACTTAACATGAGTTTCCTTTACAAGCTGGTGGTTCTTGGTAAACTGAATAACTTGGTCAAAGAATGGATTTCAGAATTTGGTGAGAGCAAGGTAAGGGTTTTTTATATGCTCTTGTCAAAACAGCTGATGCCTTTTTATTTCTTTTAAAGGCCATACTACT